ACAGAGCCGCATCTGATGCGGGTGGGCTGGCTGGCCGGGTGCAGGTGACAGAGAGGCGGCGGAGGGAGGGAGTCACTGCAGCTGCGGCCACAATAGGCCCCCCCACAACCAGGGTCCAGGGAGCCCCCACTGACCACCAGGCTAAGGTAAGGTGACAACATTTTTAAAATAAAGTCCAGGGACATTTTTAAATGTCCCTGGGAACATAAAATAAAACATATATATATACATATATTTTTTAATACTCACCTGTTCCCTGGATCCACCGACAAGCGCAGCCTCACGTCTCCCGCACTAGCGGGAGCTATGCAAAATACGGAGCCGGCTTCCTCGCTATGCTATAAGCGTATCTTCTCAGAAGCTGCACACTGCGCGCGCCGGTTTAAGTAGTAACCAGCACGCTCTGTATGCAGCTTCTGACAGCGTGGGTGATGGAAGGCTGCGCTTGACGGTGGATCCAGGGATCAGGTGAGTATTAAAAAAAATGTTTTATTTTATGTTCCCAGTAGGGCTGCAACAACATTGCTGGGTTTTGTTGTATTCCTCTATAGGTGGTGGTATTCTGCATTGCGCTGTATAATGTACTATTGCTGGGATGTGTAGTCCTCTATGGCCGGTGCCATTCTGCATTGATTGCTGTATAATTTTACACTTTCCATTTCACTATATTGCACTTCCACCGCTCCAAGCTTGCTCTCATGATGGACTACAATCTCAATACAAACTAGTAGTCCATCACTGGAGCCATTTTTTCCCCCCGATTAACAGATTAATCGAACTTAATAATCGGCTAACTAATCGATTTTGAAAATAATCGTTAGCTGCAGCTGTAGTTCCCAGGGACATTCCCAGGGACGGTCTCCTCAATCTGGGGACGGTCTCCTCAATCCGGGGACTGTCCCCGGAAATCAGGGGCGAATGGTCACCCTATACCAGGGAACCCTCACTATCCACCAGGGAGCCACCATAGAGCCTCCACTGGCCACCAGGGAGCCCCCACTAACCACCAGGGAGCCCCCAGGGCCCAAAGTGGAGCCCCCACTACCCACCTGGGAGCTACCACAGAGCCCCCACTAGTTATGAGTGAGCCCCCACTAGCCACCACAGATCCCGCACTGACCACCTGACAGTCCGCATTGGCCACCTGAGAGCCCGCACAACCTCTTGAGAACCCGCACAACCCTCATGAGACCCTGGAGACATCAGGTGGTGAACCCAAAGCAACATAGAGTATATAGCTTCATATTATTCTGCATTGCTCTAATATGTATTGCTGAGATTTGTAGTTCTCTATAGCTGATGCCATTCTGCATTGCTGTATAATGGTATTGCTGGGAATTGTAGTTCTCTATAGCTGTTGGTATATTCTTCATTGCTGTATAATGTATTCCTGGGATTTATAGTCCTCTATAGCTGATGGTATTCTGCATTTTTGTGTAATGTATTGCTGGGAATTGTACTTCTCTATAGCTGTTGGTATTCTTCATTGCTGTACAATGTATTTCTGAGATTTATAGTCCTCTATAGCTGATGGTTTTATTCTGCATTGCTGTATAATGTGCTGAGATTTGTTGTCCCTCTACAGCTTGGAGTTACTGGCAGAACTACCAGGGTCGCAGCAGTCGTACATGCACACAGCACTGACGAGGCATCCCTCCACTACCAGTGTGCTATAATTTCC